TTTTTTTTTAATATCTACATATATATACACGATACATATATATATATATATATATATATATATATATATATCCACCGTGCAATGCACTGATAGCATCACATCGCTCTAGCTTTGGTTTTAATCCACTGTTTATGTCTCATGCAAATTTGGTGGGTGACTGATAAGAACACTTTTTGCGTATAAGGGCAAACATATTAATGTGCAAAGGCCACTTTGGTGTCCGAGTATTCGTTTGACTGTCCTAATAAATTACACACCTTTGCCCTAAATTTAATTTACTTACTTCCTAGATTACCTATTGCCTTATCCTTTAAATTTACTTTTCAACGGTAATTGCTAATTACACCATCTCTCCTAATAATGATATATCATTTAATTTTCATTTCGATTTTTTTTTTCTTGGTAAAGGTATATGTATTAATATAATCAAATTTTAGGTTGAAATTATTGTTATTTAGCTTAGTAAAAATGGTCATGAAACATGACATAATCATTTCGTGATATAGCGAGTTATTTTTGTTTGTTTACAATTATTTGTTAAATAAAACGTTTGTTTGATATTCTTTCTTCTATTTTTTGCTGCGTGAATTCCGAAAAATATTAGGAAATCATTGAAAATAACTATAGGTAACTGTTGCAAAAATTTGGAAAATCATTGCAGTCTTGTTACATCCAATCAAAATTTTATGATTTTATGTACTCTTCTCTTATACTGATCCAGATATATACTTATTTGTGTATATGTATATATATATATATACATATGTTATGTATACACACGTGTTGTGCACAAACTAGCACGTACTTCGTCTAGGGGTGGGCACGGGCGGGTACCCGGACTTTTTAGGGTGTCTTTATCTCGATCTCAGTCTCGTCGGGTTTTTGATTGGAATGTCTCGATCTCTATCTCGCGAAACCCGGGTACCCGAGATTCGGGTACCCGAGACACGAGTCCGGGTACCCGCGATACCCGAACCCGAACTCGTGTGAAATTTTTTTTTAAAAAATCTAAACAAATTTACAAAATTAATACACCAATAACATAAACCCGAGACCGAGAGGCTCGCGACGGCGAGAGGAGAGAGATCGGGCGTGAGAGAGATCGAGCGGCGACTGCGAGCGTTAGAGATTGAGTGAGAGAGATGAGAGAAGAGTAATTAGGGTTAATATATCAATAACATAAAATCCAACGAAGACATACTCTGCAAAAAAAAACCCACGTATAACAGCAAAAACTCAGATTGAGAGCGAGACAGAGTAGAGCAAGAGCATACCGACGGAGAAGCGTAAGATGGAGAGAGACTGAGAGCGAGAGAGCTAAGCAAACGACGGAGGAGACTGAGCCGAACGACGGCGGACAAACGATGGAGCAAAGCCGAGCCGACCGACGGAGAAGCGAAAGACAGAGAGAGACCGAGAGAGACAGAGGCGAACGACGGCGGAGACAGAGGCGAACGGTGGCGGAGACAGAGGCGAACGGCGGAGACAGAGCCGCGAGGTGACAACAGAGACGGAGAGAGACCGAGAGTGAGAGATCGGTTCTGAAGACTGGAGACTCGAAGAGGAGGCAGGAGGCAAGGGCTTCGATTCGTGAGAGAGAGATGAGAGAGTTAGGGTAAATTAGGGTTAGGGGTATTTTTGTAAATATATTAAATATTAAGGGTATTTTTGTAATTTTAATTTTTGCCGGGTACCCGTGAGATAACCCGTCACATAATGCTCGAACTCGAACCCGAACCCGAGACTCGGGTTTTTCGTCTCACG